CTTGGTATGCAATATCGTACCGTACCGAGCAAACGTCGAAACTCCGGTACGGTACGATATTACATACCTTGGATTTAAGTACTCTAGACTTAACTAAACATATAGCTTTCCACATATATCAATAGCGGCAAAATATCCATATAGTCAATCTCAAATAATTGGGACTTGCGGTTTTGTTATTGTTGTTGTATTTAAATATCCAATTCCAGACCATCCTCTTAGCAAAATCAGTAATTATTGTGTTTGATCTCTGCTGTCATGTACGCCTTTTTGCCCTTAATATGTAACATTCCCTGCACCCTATACACTTAGCTTGTCTATCTCATGGAATATTCATGGGGGAGATCCACCTTGAGTTTGCAAAGATGTGTTATAGATAGCATACATATTATGCTTCTAAGAAAACATTGCATTCTCATATTTCAAGGAGGGACCTTGCACAAAGAATGGTTTGTAGCAATGTACTTCAAATGAGACGGCCATCTATGCCACTTGTATGGTCCAGACTAAACATCGCATCAACTTTAAAGGTTTCTAAGAAGTATGAAGAAACCATCCTTCAAAAATACTTAGTGTTTAAGATCTAGCAGCACATTTACACATATATAACTTATCAAATATGGTATGCTATGCATCCTATTTCAAGTCCATTTAAACAGCACATTTTGGGGCTTCATGGCCTTACAAACACAATTGTCCACTTCAACACAAAGTATTAGTGCTGTTACACATGACATTTAATGATATAATCTACTCCTAACACATAATTTAGTCTTCTATTCTCTCAAAATTCACATCAAAATATTTATGCCACGATAGTGCAAAGGAAAAAGGGCAGCAAAGGGAATAGTGTATAAAAACAATATTAAAAAACTGTTCCTGAAGGAAAAATAAAAAATAAAAAAAAATCCTTGACCATGCATACTAAAGGAAAGACTAAGAGTCAAAACATATAAATAAATTTAAGCTTGAAAAATAATGTTCAACAGGATACAATGAAAAATAACCATCTGCTCTTGCAAAACTGATGCTTTGACCACCATTGAGTATGACTTTAATATTTGTGGGTTTTGCAGGAAGGCCAGATTCTTTGGATGTTGCACCTGAAAAAGTTATCAACTAGAACTTCAGCAGAAATCCAAAGAGACTTATCACGGCATAGTATATTTCAACCAGGGTTTAAGGTGTTGCTTTGTGCTGCATCTAGCGACTAATGCAATGTCTAACAGCATATGCAGCAAACACAACAACAATGAGCTTCAAGGTTCCAATCATGTGAGGCACAAAATGACACAAATTGGTCTCCACGAGTGATGCTGCATGTCACAAGTGTAGTACACATCATGCTTCGCACCACATATGCAGCAAACATATTAAGGTGTTGCTTGTGTGCTGCATCTACTGACTAATGCAATGGCCTACAGCATATGCAGTAAACACAACAACAACAATGAGCTTCAAGGTTCCAATTATGTGGCACAAAATGACACAACTTGGTCTCCACAAGTGATGCTGCATGCCACAAGTGTAGTACACATCATGGTTCGCACTGCTCCAGCAGGCTGTTGGCCAAAGCATGACATTGTGCACCTTAATTTTTTATCATCGATATGGAGCAAAAGAGGATAAGTTGAAATAGGAACTAGTAAGTTAATCAACTGGTAAGTAGAATCCCAACAAGAAACCTCGAAAGTGATTACTTACTGAATATCCATAAGTAAACGTACAGTAAATAACTCCAATGCAAATATATTCTAGTTAATGCATAAATCTAAAACAAAACAGTAAATACTATGATGCATAGTGTCTAGTCAGAGACATGTGATAAGTACGGTTGAAGCTTTCTTATAGCATTACAAAGTGATAACATTTTATATTTCATCAACAAGTTGATCAACATTAATTCAAGGTGATGATAATTGTTTGTTTTAAATATTTGCATAAAATTAAAGACCATACGAATCTCATGATAAGCAACTCCTACTATATAGCTAATGGTTATTGCAAAAAGAGTTAACGCTGCAGATCTAATTGATTTAATGGATTCACAGACATAACACTATTTTGAGCTGTAACATATCGATGGTTGGAGTCCTTATGGCACCTGGTACAGCAGAAACAGGAAAAAAAAAAGGCAGAAAATATACTAACTTCAGAATAACCAGCTCAAAAGGGATTGCAATTCATATATCGAACAAAATCGCAGCATCCGATGACCAAAAACTAGTCCATTACAAGAATCTTGGAACAAAATTATATCTTTTCGTTTTCTCAGAACATCACAGTGAGATGTTGTCAACATCGAATTCTGGTTTTAAATATTATTTCCAGTCCATCTCCACCATCATTACCACCAATAATGCATAAAAATACTCAAAAGATCTAAACAAGCAGCATAAAATATATAAAAACGAACGAAAGGAAAGTGATTCACCATCTAATTTCACACGACCGGCGATCGTGTACCCATCGCCAGATCTGCAAATTGAAAGATGGTCAAGTTAAAAGAAGGAAATCTGCAATAAGACTTGGCTTAAGCAAAGGAAATCTTCTGAGAAGGGCACCCTAGGTCAGCGGCGAGGGCGCGAGGAAGCAGATGCGAGAAAAGAAGAAGAGGCAGAAGGAGGAGGAGCGGCGGTGACGGATTGAATAACGCCGCGGAGCTCCTCATCGCGTGTGCTATCTCTGCGGATCTGCTGCTGCTGCTGGTGCTCCTCGGCGCACTCTTTTGGGTTTGCGGCCTTCCTGAGAGGCGGCGTATATTATCATGTACGCCCTCCACAACTCCAAAATGACATGATTTGTGATTGGACAACAGCGTGGAGCCCACCGTGGAACCCACTGCCCATCGACGGACTCCGAGATATAATTAATTTGATAGCATCCGTAGGAGAGACTATATAGTTTATGACCCTTTAGAGCTGATAGATGTCCCGCATCAGTTGTGGTTGCACGAGTTCCACATTGATCATAATCGATGCAAGGTTTGAGATAGGTCAATATATAGAGAGATTATTTCGAGTGTTTTAACTCGTATAAATAACCTGACTTGAACCGATCGAATCGGCTCGGAAAACCGGGGTTGGCTGTCATGCTAAATGGCGCGTGCTTCACTTCGATTCGGGTCGGTTCAATAAGAACCAGGAAACGGAACCGGAGCGGCTCGGCGCGCCGACTCGTTCCGTTATTTGGTTTTCCGACACAGAAATGTTCCGCTACATCCGATACGTAGCGGGGTTGGGTGGGATTAGAAATTGTGGTCGCTTGCCACGAAGGAACTCGTTGGGTGGTCAGGAAAGAAGCGAATCGAAGCCGCCGCCTCCTCGCCTCTCGTCTCCCCCAATACCCCTTTCTTTCTCTCCATATCTCTCCCCCTCTCGCCTCAAGAATTGTGGACGAGCGTCGACGGAGAACACTTCTGTCACCAGTTCCGTCGGCGGCGGCGGTGGCGGTGGCTGTTTTATTCCGTCGAACGGCCGAGCTGATTCGATTTCTTCTCGAATAGGTACCGCGTTGAGCTCTGTGTCGAATAGGTTTCCTCCTTTCTTTCGGGTCTTTGTTGGGAATATACGTCGTCTTGGAGGCAACCGTGCGTAAGGAAAGAGAGTAAGTAATTTGATGAACTTTGCTTCAAAATCGAATATTGCGGTCTGGTAATCTAATCTTGGATTCTGTGGATTTAATTGAATAAGAGTGTTTCACGGACGATTGGAAACAACGAAGGATGGCGATGAAAAGCAAGTGTCGTGGGACAAGCGACGTCGGATTTGGGAGCTTGCGATCTATACTTTTTAGTGTTTACATTTATCTGGGAAAAACCTTTTTTCTTTTCCTATGGTGACTTACTCTTGTTTATGTCAAATCATGTAGAAGATGGTAGTGTGAGGGTTTAATTGTTGGTGTTGCCTTTGAGATGAAGAATTGGAGTGTGATAATGAACCATTCATTTTTGTGGTGAATCAAGAACCGGAAGTGGATTCTTCTGATGCTAGATGGTACATTTGGCTTTTTCCCTTTTCCTTTTGTGGAAAGGTTTTATGGACCTCTCGTGCATGCAAACAAGTTGTTCCATCGTATATTGGTCCTTAATGAGAGTAATTCACACAATTTTCACTAGGTTAAACACCTTACTTGTTGCACTTGCATTTTGCCTCCTAAACCAACCGGGAAGGAGTTGCACTTAAGACACTACTGTCTTCTGTAATAGTTGGATAGTTAAATAATTTATCTTAAATTAACACAGGAGAAATGGTGTTTTTTTTTAGGTCTTGGTGATAGAATCTTAGTTTGATTTAGCACAGTAGAATAGATAATTGTTCTTGTGGTATTAGTGAGACAGGCTTAGTTTCCCATGTAAGATTAGTTTTACTTGAATACTTTCCCAACTAACATGGGTTTGGTGATGGACTGCACTATAAGTTTCAGAGGCTTTATAAAATGTTTGATAAATTTCAGTCCTCCGTCAATTAACAACAATGAGTCTGGTTCTGCTCAGCTTGAGGTAAAAGAAGATTGCCATAAGTCTTGAAACCTAAATGACTATTCTGTGGTTAAGATTATCTTATGCTTAGTACAACTGCACAAGGAGAAATGACCGGCTTTGACTTAAGGAGTAAAATCCTTACAGTTTGTAGAAGAGTATTTATGGTTGCTGGTGTTGCATTTGTATGTTTGTGGACTTAACTACACAGCTACTAGGTAATGTTTTAAGTGATAAGAAGTCAACAGCGTGTTCCTGTATATTCTGGTACCTTCTTTTTGTTTCATATCGAATGGTCTTCATAAGTTAGTAATACTTATTTAAGTAGAGAAAAAAGAGGAAAATCAGTCACACCCTGAGGCTAAACAATGAACTATAATAAATGTGTTAATATTTCGAGTTAAAAGTCTCCCCTCTTTAGATGCAATGTTGTTACCCTTCTGTCGGTATGGTATAACAGTAATTTAATTGCTATATGTCATATTCACTGGTTTAACTAATGTCTATTTTGCATAAAGGATGATGAATTTTAGGAAATGGGTTTCATGCCAACTCATTTCCAACAAATTGCTTTCCGCAAGACCTTTCCAATTCTCCGACGAGGACTCGACAAGTGAAGAACATGTTCATCCAGGTATCAATAAAATCATTGAACTCAACCAGCTTTTTGTGTTTTCTAAGCATTATTTTCTTTTTGTAGACTATTACGGTTCCTATTCTTTCTTTGCTTGATTTGGATTTCTGCATGTATAAGGAATTGGACTTAGTTTTGTTTGTGGAATAATATTTTGAAAAGATCTAATTGTTGTTCACACACCAGATGAAATAATAAGCCAAGTGAATAGGTCTCGCTCTAGAAATCCTAAGTTCGATAAACAGTTACAAATGGTATAATCTCCCTTTGGTTTATCATGACGCATAACTGGATGCATCTGACCAGATTGATGGAATCTGATAATGGTCAATTAGGTTGGAGGCCTAGGACATAATTGCATTGCTCTTTTTCTCGCTTTTCCTCTCTACCTGTACTATACTGTGTTTTATGTGCAAAATTCCTAAATAGACTTCTTACATACAACAAATACATCCATGCTCATGAAATTTGGCAAGGTTCCATGCTCTGTCATATAATAGACTGTTTGCACTAGACGTTGCAGTAGTGTTTATCTCATCTGTTGCTATCTGGTAACTAAGTGGAGCTTTTTGTGGTCAGAATTAGGAGTAAACCAGGTTTTATTCTTTCAACTGTGGTTCTCAGACACCATAATTTTTCTCTGTAGCAAAGCAAGCAAAACTATTGCTCTCTTCTGAAAAAGAATTGTCTTTGTGTGTATGTGAAGTATCTTAGTTGAATCACTGGTTATCAACTTGAAAATTGTGATAACCTTGTTCAAGATTAAATTCTGCTACTGTTGATCTTGTATTGCTGCATGTTTTCATGTCCCAGAAATGTTAGTTTTTTTCTTAAATGAGTATTCAACTAATCTTTTAACCATCCCTGGTGGCTTTAAATTTATTATACTTGTAACAGTATTTTTGGTGTGATGAACTTTATTTCAAACATTAAAAATGGAGAGTTTGCATCTTCATGATATATTTGAAGCAAGATTATATTATATCGTTGAGCATTGTAAGTCATTATACAAGGCATGCATAAACCTGCAAAAGTCACAAAAACCCCTATAGAACATGAGATTCCATAGACATATTTTTATATATTGTCCATTTACTTTCGGACCAAGGTCCTCAGCTCAATGTAAAGGTTTCACTATTGTTAGCTTAGTATGATGGTTTTGTGCTCTGGAAGTGTTTTCTTACATGCTTTGGTAGTTAGTTATACCCTTCTCAAGGGTATATCTTTTTATCTTGAATTGCTAGATGCTACCATATATAACCTGAGAAGGGCAGACATAATTGTTCTTTCTAAGGACACATGCAAGTTTAAGTTAAGTTTTCTGAGGGTCAATCTGCAAATGTCAACTTTGTTATGTGCGTTTTGGGATCGATCGCATGAGTCACCTACCTTATCAGGTACCTATTTTGAGGTAGACTTATCTCTACCTTTTTCACCCTTTTGAGGTGTGAGAACATTTTGAAACCTAGTGCATGTTTTTCCTAGAAAGTTGTCTGTGATTATGTGATACGCAAGTAAATTCTTGGGTATATTATCATTTTTGTTGTTGCTCATAATCAGTCATCTGCATGATCCCATAATTGCTAAATTTGGAAAGTCCTCAGAGCAGAGCGTTTTAATTGCCTCTGCACATATGTGAAATTCTTAGTTGGATCACCAAGTGGACCATCGTAGTTGAATCAATGCCTCAATGGTCATTGAGCTTGAAAAATTAGTAACTTGTCCAAGATCCCACTTCTTGTTAATGTTGATACTTGATACTATATTGCTGTGTGCTTTTATCTCCCAGTAGCATTAACTATTTTCTTCAATGGATATTTTAGCTATTCTTGCGGTTCAACAGTATCATATTATTTGATCTTATATTGGAAGGGTTGGTTTTTTTTCTTTTGTTTGGACAGAAGACACAGCAAGCATTGGGACCGTATCAGTTAGTGATTCTCAATCCAATGATACTCAAATAACTGAAGTTCCAACTAGCCCACATCTTATTACTGCTATGTCTTCACATCTTGGTCACAGGAAGGCAGATCCATTGACCAAAGTTGAGGAACTTCAGATCAAATTCTTGCGTCTCATTCATCGGATAGGACTGACACCAGAAAACCTTGTAGTGTCACAAGTTTTATATAGATTGCAACTTGCTAGCTTGATTAGAGCTGGTGAATCAGATGTAAAGAGACCTGTTCTCAAGGTCAACACAGCTAGAGGAATAGCAACAGAGCTAGAGTCAACTGGTAGTCCCAATCTGGATTTGTCTCTCAGGATTCTCGTTTTGGGGAAAACAGGTGTAGGTAAAAGTTCAACCATAAACTCAATTTTTGAGCAGCCGATGGTGGCAACCAATGCATTTGATCCAAGCACTGATCGTATCCATGAAGTTGTTGGGACTATCAAGGGCATTCAAGTTACGGTAATTGATACACCTGGTCTTTCTGCCTCTTATGGTAACGCAAGTCACAACAGGAGATTGATGCTTTCCATCAAAAGGTTCATTAGAAAATCTCCACCAGATGTGGTTTTGTACTTTGAGCGGCTTGATGCCATCAACAGGGGTTATAGTGATCAGCCACTGCTGAAACTCATAAATGATGTTTTTGGTTCTTCGATCTGGTTTAACACTATTCTTGTCATGACCCACGCCTCATCACATCCTCCTGAAGGATCTGATGGGTATTCTGTGGCTTATGATGCCTTTGTGCATCAGTGCACAACAACCGTGCGCAATTATATACGCCAGACAGTCTCAAATGCACAGTTTGAAACTCCTGTCATTCTCGTAGAGAATCATCCAATGTGCAGAACTAATAATAAAGGTGAAAAGGTGCTACCAAATGGCCAGGTGTGGTTGTCTCAGTTCTTGCTGTTATGTGCAGCGACCAAGGTGTTGGCAGATGCAAATGTACTTCTGAAGTTTCAGGAGAGCTTTCAACTAATACCAAAGAACAGCCGACTACCCTCACTGCCGCATCTCCTTTCATCTATTCTTCGGCCTCGTTCTTTACCTAATGGTAAGAGCTTTGGTGATCAAGATGATGTGTATGAGCTTCTAGACAATGACAATGATGAGGATGATTATGACCAGTTACCTCCTATTCGTATATTAACAAGAACCCAGTTCAAAACATTGTCCAAAGCTCAGAGAAATGCTTACCTTGATGAGTTGGATTATCGTGAGACCTTGTATTTGAAGAAGCAGTGGAAGGAAGAGCTAAGGAGGCAAAGAGAAAGGATGCTTCATCAGGATGATACATATGTAAGGAATGATAACTATGAAAATAGTGATTCCCAAGAGGTTTCTGAAGTGTCAGATATGGCTATCCCACTAAGTTTTGAGTCTGATAATCCTGCGTATAGGTACCGCAGCCTGCTAGGTAATGATCAGTGGCTTGTGAGACCAGTTTTAGATCCCCAAGGCTGGGATCATGATGTTGCGTTTGATGGCATCAATCTGGAGAGTTCTCTAGATATAAGAAAAAACTTCCAAGCCTCTGTTGTTGGGCAAATGAGGAAGGATAAAGAAGATTTCAATATCCAATCCGAATGCACCGCGAGGTACTCCGATCCAAGACACCACTCTTTGCTTGCAGAGGTGGACATCCAAACTGCTGCTAAGGATTTGGTCTGTACTGTTCATGGGGATGCCAAGTTTTGTAACTTCAAGTGTAACACGACTGGAGGTGGTATTTCGGTGACTAAATACGGGAATATGTATTTTGTTGGAGCCAAGCTAGAGGATTCTATTAACATCGGGAGGAGAGCTAAGTTGACATTGAACGCAGGACAGATCAGGGGCTGTGGCCAAGTAGCATCTGGTGGTAGTATTGAAGCTACCTTGAGGGGGAAAGACTACCCCATCAGAGATGATAAGTTGACCCTTGCGACCACCATCCTTTCCTATGACAAAGAGATGGTTCTGGGTGGGAGTATTCAGACTGATTTCAGGGCTGGTCGTACAGTAAAGATGTCAGTAAATGCCAATCTGAATAGCCGAAGATTAGGTCAAATTAGCATAAAGACTAGCACCTCAGAACATGTTGAGATAGCACTAATTGCAATCTTTTCATTGGTCAATGCCCTGATACAGAGAAAGGGAACCGAAGCTTCGATCGATGAAAAAAAGGAGTCTACATCTATCGACTTGTAAAACAAGAGGGACCGTAATGGCCAAGCTTTAGAGGTGATGCCGGTAGAATCGTTTTGATCCCTTTCCTATTTGTATGGTATAATTGTACATATATTTTCTTTAACCCCCTCAAATCGTTATGCTAATGAATTTTGAGGCAAGAGAGAAGCATTTTCCAAAATAATACAGTGTTGTCTTGTAGATCAAACATCATCGATTACTTATTCATTGGTTTTATGAGAAGACTTGGTGCATAGGTAGTTGGATATTGGGCAAAAGGTGGCCGTTTTCTGCTGTGTGTGTGTGTCCTTGTGGTTTATTGCAATCGGTGTTGCAGGATTTGAACGGAGGCACATACAACCCAGATATTAATGAATAGGAAGAGGAGGACCATATATGGACGTGACTCTTTGATTTCTTAACATCACAGGGAACATTTCCTTTGTTGTCTTGTTTTGTGAAGTGTAACAGGTTCCTTAACAATATATGTAGTTGTGTACATTTCTGATACCACTTAACTGAATATATGTAGTTGCGTACATTTCTGATACCACTTAGCTAAAACTTGCGTACTCGCCCGACATTTGTTCTCTTGAATGAAGCTTCGAGGTGTAGGAAGTTTCAATGTTCGATTGGATCAGTCACTCAGTCACTCGTTATCCAATCCATGTCGCCGAAACGACGTTCAAATGGATCAGTCGCTCCATGTCGTCTTAGACAAACACTTCACTCCCATGTCTCTCTTCTATTACACGGAACAAATGTAAGTTGCTTGTGCATGTCGACAGCTTGTTCCTCGTTTCCCTCAATTTTTGCATGCCTACAAATATCGAAAAAAATCCTACACCAATGCATCTCAAAGCCAACAACAGTCATAACCAAACTATAAAAGCCAACAACAGTCGTAACCAAACTATAAAGAGATGTGTGTTCATAAACTTGAATGACAAGCAACTAAATCTTGAACAAGATCTTGGGCGATATGTTACACTACGTCGATTAACCCACACCGTAGCCAGAAAAATTGGATGTACACTGAAACATTTATCTTTTTCTGCTGAATGATAATGCTAAGTACCGGTTTTGGAAAGTAGAAATAAACATCAAACAGCTCGGGGAGCCATCGCTGGCTTCATCCCAATACTTGCTCTGAAACACTTCACTTGGGGGTAATGTCACACTCTGCTGCACGTCACCTGATGAGCACTGCATCAGGAACCTGAAGACAAAACATCGATCAGAAGAGACAGAAAACAACTGCAATGAACAAACAGAAAGGTATCGACTTGAACAAACAGAAAGGAGCAACCGATAATCTCTCAACCCCAAAATTCCAAACTATTTAAAATCAGCTAAGGGTGTTCTGGTTATTTAATTCTATAGAAGTGCCATTCCAAAATTCAAACGCTATAAGATTTCTTCTTACCAATTTTAGTGAAGTCTACTGTGATAAGATGATTCACCTTTCACCTCTTAACATCGTTATGACAAAAGCATAATATACTGATGACAAGATGTCAAGGTTGCTAATAAACATGAACTTAACAAACTAAAACAGATTAACCAACAGAGAGTATTTGGCCCGAGGATGAGTATGTTACATATATATATGAGTATATACATATATGTGTGTATGTCTGTCTTTAGTACAGGAGATACAAAGAAACTGCATTGTGCATATGATACTGACATCAATTTAAGGCTCCGTGAGCACAATGATTTACAAAGATAGAAAAATGGATAATCAATATATATTCAGGATATGAAAAATACAACCACATGCAGCTCATCTCAGCTCAAATGTGGAAGTTGAGGCAAAAGCTTCAGGGTACAAGGACAAAAGTACTCAAAAAAGCATTTAAGAATAAACCATTTAATCATATTTGAGACAGAAAAAGGGAAAGATAGAGAGAGAGGGATTTACTAATAATGTATTCCTAGGTAAAAAAATGGTGATATTGTAAATGACCGCCTCATGAGAAGACAAAGAAAGCACTGAAGCATGTCAAAGTGCAAGCTTAGAAAATGGGACAGGATCATTCATTTAACATAGTATCAAACGCCAAGATATAGAACAAACAAAATCTCATATTTAAAAAACTACAGAGATAAAACTTAAGGGAGCAATATAATGTATAAGAAGGGTGAGTATCTCCAGAGAACCTGCAGGTTTGTTCTTCAGAGCCCACTCTTGTGCTGCTGAAATCCCCTAAATGAAAATGTATAAGCACAACAATAAAATGAAATTTAGAACCAAAAGCTGGGACTGCAAGCATGGATGAAAAAAGTCAATACCTGTTGCACTTTAGCAGGATCAATAACAGAACCAGCAGCCTTTAGTTGTGCATAACTCAGATCCTATTAAAAAGAGAATACTTACAAAGGTAAGCCAAACCATCATCTCCAAGTTAGACACCTCTTGCTTCATTGACGGCAGAATAGCCATGCAAGTAGCTAAAAATTAAAGCCAACACAACTATTGTTGATATCATGATCTAGCAAATTCTCTCCTAATAAAAGTCATCTCTACATTTATGAATCTTATATAAACTCTAAATCTCGTCCTCTTCATGCAATGTCTCAATGGACAAACAGTGAACAACAGAAATCAAGGCAACATTAGTAACAAGCTCCCTGAGCTTCTCCTAGACAGAAATAACTCAATTCATTCCCTTCAAACAAGTTGTCCAGTTATAATGTAATATACATATTACATAAAATTCAAGATAAAAAAATCCAACAATACAAGGAAGAGGATAGTTGAAGTTCTAGAGCTTGTAAAATATTATCTCATCATGCAACCATAGCTAAAAAGCAACATTTTATAAGACTGTCACAAGGATAGAATGTTAAGTAGTTAGGAAACAACATATTTAAAAGTTAACATTACTGTTATGATGATGTCAAAAAGTATTGTTATTAAAAGAAAAAATAGGAAATATTTTGTGTTCATGATCAATTCAAGGGGATAGCAAGAGATAGACAATTAAGAAATGACTCTTTAAATGGTTGAATATGTTGAAGGAATACCGATGACCGCCATGGTCAAGTTGGGTGAAATAATTCATACTAGTAGTGATTGGAAAGATAGAGGAAGTCCTAACGAGATTTTACTGAGAACTCACAGGTTCTGATGAGTTCAACAAATAGTTTGGCTAGTGATAATGCATTGAATAGAGCTCAAATGCCAAAATGTATCCATGTAGCTAAATCCACATAGTTGGGAACTACAGCTTGTTGTTGTATTGTCTAAGATATAGAAGTTTGCTTTTGCTAGCTTCAATCCTTACTTCTCGAAGATGCTTTTGAAGTTATATGTTTTTTCATTAGTTTTATTTGGAACATCATTTATTATTTCTAATCTTCTGATTCATTTTCACGGTTGTTCAACATAGACCCAGACATCACAAATTCTCATACAGTCTAACAAGGTTTTCACACATTGTAATGATTGGTAGAAAACCTAAACATGTAACTTGTTCCACTTAAAAAGATCATGTCAATGTTAACTTTCTTGCTCCTGTCAAGTTTCATGTGTACCAGCCTCTCTATATTTAGTGGTAAGACTGCATATATTGACCTCCTCAGACCCTGCCGGAGGGAGCTTGATGCAGCAGGTATGCCTTTGGTCTTTTTACTGTGGCATTGGTCAACTAAATAGTTATACTGAATACACACTATTTTCCTTCACAAAAATTGTTTGCTTCCTATGATCAAAATCTTCCTGTAGTAACACAAACTAGCATCTATCTAATCACACAAGAAAATACCACAGGCAGATGACACAAAATAATGAGCTCTGTAGGGAGACATACATAATCGCTCATTTTCTCAGGTTATAACTATGATTCTGGTCATTTAACTGCAGCTATATGCCATACGGAAGCTCCATAATTGCATATATCCATACCTAGAAAATTCCATGCAAGCATGCAGGCAATCACACACTCATGCATGTGTATGTACATGCATGCATATGTTTCAATCTTTATGTACATATATGTGCTGAAACTAAATAAAAGCCCTTCTAATGATAAACATATGAACAATCCTACCTTTAAAAATTTCTCTCTTCATAACCAAGGAAAAAAATGCAATAATTAAACATCTCAAGGAATATATAGCCAAATACAAAGCTCTATAGGTATATTGCAGGGTGACAACACACCTTGCCCATCGCTTACTTCTTCAACAAACTATTTTCTTTCTTTGTGGATACTAAATTGACCGCAAGCTTACCCTTTAGTCGCTCAGGTACCTCATGACTTAAGTAATTCTAGCTAAGAATGTAACAACATATTGCATAATTAGCAGTCCTCTCAAGAGATAGAATAAGCATCCTCACAAAGAGTTTGACCAGATAATGTGCTCTACATATTTTAAGTGAATTTGAAGGTTGTCCACAGTGTGCTGGATTTAGGCACCAATGACAAAGGTACACTAAGCAACAGCCAATACAGTTCATGCTGTGTTGTATGCAGCCAGAAGGAAGAAAGAAAAACATGCAAACATGTGTTCCAGCTTTCCATTCCTCACCTCGAGTGGCTTCCTACCCAAACTATTATCTGGAGGAGATGAAGCATCACAGCTGTACCAACTTCCTCCATGGTAGCCCTTTGATAATTCAGTTAAGAAACCCTAAGCCCTAATAGATTTACACCTATGTGAAAGTGAACAGAACAAAACCAATTTCGTACAGTTCAAGTGGTCTTGTTCTCTTTTTTTAGCAGGTTCAACATTTAACATATTGCTTTCGAAAAAAAGAAACATTCAACATATCACACATGTATCTGCTTGCTGATTCCACATCTTATCCTTTGTCAGAATAGAATGCTTTTGAGGACATATTTTTTTTCTCAAAACTCAACCACAATTCTTCTCCCGTGACTCTTTATTTTTCATGTTACCCTTTGCACATATATACTAAGTAGCCCGTAGACCCACCAGAAAACATCTATCTATATAAGATCCAACAGGAGACGCTGAAGATAGGACAGTAGCATGAAATTCTTTTTTTCCTGTGAAACAGTACATGATGCTCAAGTTACCTCTAGTATGAAGACTAGACACTTTTCTGAAATAATATTATTATATTTTTCATTCATACTTTTCAAGGTGTACTTGGCAATCATGCCACTACAATAGTCTCAAAGAGTAACCATATTATATTAACATCCAAATCACTTATGATGCAGAACTTACTTGCACATTTTGTTGTAGGGTTCCACCAGAAGCTTGATACTAAAATAGCAACGGAAAGGTGTAAATCTTTGGAAGAATAAAGATCTAGATGTAAAGAAAATAAAAAATCACTACCAGTTGTAAAGGTTGAAGAGGTTGCATTTGTGATTGTTGCCTCATCAGTTGAGGTTGCATTTGCTGTGTTGACAGAACTTGCTGGGTTGGTTGAATCTGTGTGTGTGATTGAGTATCAGATGGTGATGGAAGCTGTTGGAAAGAAAGTTTTTGTTGTTGCTGCTGCAATAAGAGCAATTTCTGATGTTGTTGCTGCTGCTCAAATAGTGTAAATTCTTCAGGCTTCTCCCACTGGAACAGTAACAATTTGGTCATTTGAAGATTAAGGAACCAAAAACCAGGATATTGAGTTAACAGCAATATCATTCAGCAATTCCCACCTTACTCTCTTGAGTAGCACTGTTATAGTAGTACTTAAATCCATCAGGAGAGGTATGCTCTGTCCAGTTGCAGGTCATCGGAACTGCAGGGGACGTATTTACTGAATTTGGAAGAGTTGCAGCGGTTGTCGGCACAACTGAAGCAGGTGTGCTGGAAGCTGTTGTAGGAGGGATGGATGACGACTGTGGTCCAGTCCATGCAGACTGCAGAACACATTTTATGCAATAAAACTTTTAAATGAACAAGTCAACAACATTGATGCAGAAAGAAGGATTTGACAGCAAGAGAAGCTTTGAAGCAGCTACATGACATTATGGTTCATGAAAGAACCTACCAAAAATTTAAGGTGGAAATTCAGTTCCCAATGACTAAAAAATGGCAGACACTTTATGAACATTTTCAATTTGCTTAACCTGCAGTTTAGTAGACTCAGAAACATGCTGCTGTTGTTGCATTTGTTGCAGCTGCTGTTGCAGTTGGAGAATTGCCTGTTGGGATGATTGAAAGCTAGATTGTAAAGCTTGGGCCTGCTGCTGAAGCAGCATCTGGGGTAGTTGTGCTGGAAACTGTTGGATAGGCTGCTGAAGAAGCTGCTGTGTGACATTAGATGTGGCAAACTGTGGAAGATTGGCGGTAGCAGGCATAGCTTGTTGTTGCAGGCTTAAAGGAGCCTGCAATGCCATGGAAGAGGCACTTTGCTGGGCTAAAGGCTGCAAGGATGCTTGTCCACCCAGTCCAGGTAACTGTTGGGATGGTATGTTTTGACCACCAGATTGAGGAAGTTGAAGCTGGCCAAAATGTTGCAGAGGTGATTGCAAATTTAGAGCATGGGGGTGGGAAACTGGAGGCTGTTGGGTATTCAGTTTTAAATGTGGAGGGAAGTTTTGAGGGGGCATCAGTGGCTTCTCCAACTGTGATACTTGCTGACCAACAAAGGAAGGGAGTGATGCCATCGAAGGATTGAATCCCTACATAATGAAACAACTAGTAAGCTAAAAGTATTAATATTATTGTGTAGTTTGTTGTATTAAAATTGGACTAATCAAGCTCAGACAATCAGACAAAAAACAGAAAGATGAATCAACACCTGTTGCGATGAAGGTGGCACTGGAAGCGTTGAGGTTGTTCCATTAGAGTGGGAAGACGATCCAAATGACTCGGGATTCATTGGATGCCAAGCATCAGATGATTTACGCCCATTCCTTGGCTCATCCAGGTTAGCTGTTGGCCTGTAACCAAAAGCATTTGGCATTAGAAAAAGAAAATGTCAAGAAAAGAATATATTTTTCAATCAAATTTGGGAGTCTCTTTGAGCAGAAATTCTAAACCAAAGTCAAATTGTTGAATTTTAACTGAATCAGTTCAAAAGGAAGAAGGATTTGGGGAACGCCATATGCTAAACCGCAAATTTCACTTATCTAGACTTATGCCATCAATTAATTAACAAATTATAAAGAGGGATTGATTAAACAGTCCCTTTATTTTGATACATTCCAACTCTCAATCCCTAATAACTGAGTTGTACAAGCCATGCCTATTCTGAGAGGACATTAATCTTGCTCCCACCTTTCTTAAACACACAGAAAGAGCTATACATGGTTGCTGACTTGTGTAACACAATTTCAGTTCATATGCAATTGATACCTCTGCCATACAAAAGAAGTCATGCTTCTGGTGTATACACTGTCCATGGTTATACACAGAATGAAACAGTTGTGAAAAGATTTTGCATATATGAAACTTAAATTACACAGTTCAACAAGACGACAATGCCAATTACAACAAAGCCATAAGTCCCAACTATTTGGGGTCAGTTACATGGATCTTTCGCCGTCCTTGAGATAAGATTAAAAAACTATGTTTAGTTAAGTTAAGAATATTTATATCCTTATTTATAGTTTCTATTAAGATCTTTTTAGGTTTTCTGTCTCTCCTTAGACCATAAACATTAATCATTTCACCTCTTCTTACTACCACATCTATAAATCCCTTGAGCACATATCCATACTATCATACCATTCTAAATGATTCTTTCTCATTTCATCCTCTAGCAAAACGATACCTACTTGTTCATAAAAAAAAATATTTCTTTTTTTATCTTTCCTAGTAACTCCACGCATTCACCTCGACATTCTCATCTTAGCAAGAAACTTTTTGTATATTTTCTTAACCAAATCCATAGAACATTACTGGTCAAACAATTATCTTATAAATTTTTCCTTTTATAAAAACTAAAATTTATGAATAAATAATTAAAATAGCCACTCACAAGATGTGGACCACTCATACAATTCTAGGCCTTTAGCTCCTGCACATCTTAAAGCCATCAAGTGAAGGACTGCCTATCAATATGTGTGCAATGAACCACAATTGAAAAAGGCTCCGTTTAAAAGATTTGTACCACTTTTGTTTTTATTATCAACATTTTTAATTTCATCACCGTCCGTGTAAACCAACCACTGGCTTAGAGCTATGCAAGAGCATGTCAATGCAAGCACGTCAGGCACGGCAACATGCACCATGCACATAACACCCTGGGCAGCACATGCCAGAGAGCAGATTTGGTACATTGGTATATGCAGTAAAAGGACGTGCATCCAAATGTCCCAAAGATTACATGACACTAATATGTCAACCATTTAATTTTCTCAAAATCTCTAACATAGCATTTCCTCCAGTAGATAACCAAACCTGATGACTAATGCTGCTTCAGATCGAGGACTGAAACCAGGACCACCAAATGCTGGTCCACTCCTGTAACAGGAAAGTTACACGACAAAGTATTACAATAAGCATAATATTAAAAAAAAAAAAGAATGCTTGATGACTGAAACTGCTCCTCTAAGCTCTCGACAAGAAGGGTATAGTTTTCATCAAAAACCTCTGGTCTCCTGGCCTTGGCCGCTTAGGATCAGCAAATCGAACAACTAACGGTTGATCACATCCCTAATAGCAGATGGAAGAAAGGAACTTGATCAGTAAGTTGAACATATGAAAATGTTATCTAACTAAACAACTTACACTCATCACATAAATTCCATTAAGAGCATTCAAAGCTGCTGATGCCATCTCTCTAGTTGAGAATTTTACAAAGCCACATCCTTCACAACTCATATTGAAAATATGTTAGAAGTAAACACAAAAGGAAACAGGCATTAAATGAAACTTCCACATTATGTGCATCGACCTACCACGACTTTGCCCTGATGAATCTCTCATTAAGTAGACATCTTCCACTCGCCCATATGGAGAAAATATCTGCCACACAAATACCAGACTTTTACAAATAACACAAAAACTAAGAGATCTCACTAATTAGGAAGAACCAGTAAAGTTGCTTCCAATCAGAAAATGTTTTAACATTTGTATTCAATTTTGGTATATTCTTTCAGAGGTCATCTGGTTATCAAATACTGATATTAGTAAAGCATTTAGTTTCATTAGAACTAGTGGAAGCATAGAAGTTACTTCCTTGACGAAAAGATATTATAGAAACTTACTTCCTCAATCTCCTTTGCATTGGCTAGCTTGTTAAGTGATGCGACAAACAGTTTGTCTTCAGCAGCACCTAAGACAAATTTTGTAGAATCAGAAAAGGCAAAACAAACACTTCCAAACTTGGTACACACTCATGTATGGCCTTAGTTCCAACTTTTAAATAGTTCCTTGCCAGATGTCATTCACAGAATACATTTTTATGACAAAAGTAAAGCAAAATCCAAACATTGAATCCCATACGTATGTGTAGGAAAATGTCAAAATTGTAGACAATAATTCTGAAGCACCTCAAAACTGTCTTGTATTGGTCTATTGGACCTAAGCTTATACATGCACAGAAGCACTTACTAATGTATTTTTCTGTTTAGTTGACACAACTTTCATCTCAAACAGACTTGGTAAAGTCTAAGTTGTGAAAACTTCAATCACTCAACAGCTCTTTTCAGCATTCTCTATCAGAGAAGAGGGTAAGACAGATGCAGAATCAAAAAATCATACCCAGAAGGGGCACAAAGTTTGTGAGATTTGAATTGAAACGGAATTCTTAGAATAACACAATATGGTACTTTCCCCAAAAAGAAGCTTAAATAGACTGAAAATAACATAAATGCTTGGAGTTTAAGACAGCTGTCAAATTAAAATTTAAACATCGAAGTATTTGATGCAAAAATCATAAAACTGAGATAATACAGACCAAAAATTGAAAAAGATATATGATGCACATAAAGCTCTAAACCACAAGTTGAAGTAACACATAGGTTAGATCAATCTACAACACCTATCATAACTAAAAAATTTAATAAATAAAATAACAGCCAAATATAGATGAGAAAGATATAAGAGAGCACTATAAAGAAACAGGTCAAAAATAAAGATGATAAAACTGCAAAATTTGTAAACTAGAGTACAAGTAACAACAATAAAAAAATATCCAAAAAAACTATTTAAAAAAAATGAAACAAATACTCATACTAAGATTGCTACAGATTATTTTATAAAATGGCTTTGACCATGGGGTACACCTAAGAGAATATCAAATAAGTTACAGAAAGATACTCAGGTTAACAAATGAACTTAAGATTTATATTAAGATACTGAACACAAATGATATGTATATTAAGATACTGAACACAGAATATAATGTTGTTATGAGCTAAGAAAGATGTCTTTTCTGGAGAGAGAAGAAAAACACATCATTTTAAATGTTTTGAAAATTCTTATATGTGATATGATCATCATTAGATGGTACCATGGTGATTCCGATCTCCATCAGCATATCTTACTTGAATAGGTCCCGAGCCCTGAGAAAACCATAGATGTAATCAATCAAGTTATACTATAACGTATAAACAACAAAATTGCTTCAAAAGTGCATCGGCTTTGTAGACAAGAAAAACACATCATCAAAGGCACACAACAAATTGGAATAGTACCCACCCCAGGTAATGTATACTGATTGTGCAAAGCCCTGATGGCTCTGTCAGCCTCGTCAGAAGTTGCATACTTGACGAAACAACAACCTGTAAGGAAAGGTTATGTTTCTTGACCCAGCTAGATAACAATAATTATTAATGTAAATAATGTAAATGGTACATGCATGACATGGCCAAAAAAAACTGAAAGTTTATCACTATACATTAATTAGCCCAAAACAAATGGTCAAAGGACCAGAAAGTCCCTTCTTTCATATGTTAGAAAATGTTAACACATATTCTAGACATCCTTAAAAAAATAAAAGAAACCTTTAAAAGGATGATGCAATTGCAGGGATGCAACTAGAACATGCAAGGAGTACAGACTATCAGCAGGGACAAACAAGACAAAAGGTGTTAAGCACGGATTTTTTCATAGTGTAATTTACTAACAAAAGAATAATGTGAAAATCAACAAAATCTAAAAGCTCTGGAGCATAGATAGCAATATAGTATGACATAATGGTGCATACAGATAATATGATATAGCAAATCACCAAAACAAAAAGATAAAATGGCATAGATATTCAATAAAAATAAGATAATATACATGCCAAATGCATAACCCATTTATGCCACAAATCTTCATAGCACTTGAACTAACAGAGAATATGGAAGTTGCAATAGAAAAAGCAAGGATGTATTAAAAATGACCAGAATTTATAAAAAAAAAAAAGAAGTAAATGTCAACATTTAAAACAAATCCAATAATCAAGACCAAGAAAATTCCAAATAACAAATCCCTAACTATCCATCATCAAAAGATTAACATGAGAATGAAGAAACCAAAGTATTCTACAAGGGTGTCCAGGAGGCAGGAAGACCCAAAGATATATAATTTTACAAAATTGTTTGAATATAAAGCACTTTGAAATAATTGTTTGATGAAAAGGCACTTTGAACACTTTTCGTAAGTTACCCAATTACTATGATTATCCAGATGTATTTGGTACAGGTATGCCAAAAGTTCTAATGCATCTACTATTTTGAAGTGAGCCAATTACTGATTTGACAAGCTGAAACCCTTTATAACAAGAAAATATTCTAGACAAATGGCATGCCTCTGCAAATAACTTATAATGAAAAATAATAATACATTATAATTTACAAACATGATACGAACAATATTGTGAATGCAAACAAATTGCTTTAGTCATGGTCAATAATTATAAATCATATCCAGGCAAACACTTTATTTTGCCTCTTCATGGGACACACACACACGATCCAACAGAAATATTATCAAGAAACAAAAAAACACAACCAATATCACTTCCAGGATTTTGACAAAGAAACATTCAAAAAATTGTGGAAGGCTGACATGTTATGCTTATAAACATGTATGATTGTGTTTTAAAGTAAAATTCAAATGTCAACGTATCCTAATAAAAAAGCATGACTGACAAAGGACAGTTTCCAGAGGACATTCTATCATCTTATTATCATGCTCTAACATTAAAAATGTCAAATTTTAGATGAGTATACACTTGTTCTAATGAAAATAGAAAAGTCCTTATGGTGTTCTTCTTTGACAACATATGGACACAGGCGAACAAACATGTCAAAGAGGCAGAAGAGCTTAGTAAGTAAAGCAGACACTGCATCTTGACTTGAAGGAACAAAAGCTACAGTAATGCTTGATGAGGAACGAGATGAACAGTCAAAATATATTAAAGCAAAGTTATCCCGAGCTCCAATTTCAGATATTCTTTTGCGATATCAGATAATTAGACACCCAAACATTTCAAGACACTTGAGCGTTGAAAAAATTTTCTAATATTGCCGTGATGTCTAAAACTCTCACATATATTGAAACTATATGCAAAAATACAATTTCACATATGAAAATATAAGTCCAACCACACAAAATGCCGGAACCCCTTGAAACCTTGGGCACTTGATGACTACCAAACAAATCAAAGAATGGGTTCAAGAATTAAGATCATTCTGGAAGAAACAGTAACACTGTGTGTGTGTGTGTGTGTGTGTGTGTGTGTGTGTGTGTGTGTATCAACTTCACCAAATGCATGCATGCATTCAGCCTTTTTTGTCAAGGAACAATAATACAATCTCTGTTCTCCCCACTTCCGAGAATAATTTCAATGAACTTACACTTATTGTCAAATTGCTTTACAAACAATATGAAATTATGCATACATATATTCACCAAGCAGCGCCCAGCACCAGAAGAATAAGAACATCAGCAAGTTCAGTAATGAAATTAGTGTAAAGTCCATATTTCAAACAATATGCACAAATTTGTCTTGAGAATACAATCTGTACAGTTCCCAAGCACCAGAACAAAAAGATAATAGGAAGATCAGCAAGCCCAGCAATGCAATTAATATAGATTCCATGTCTCAAACAAATTGCACAAGCACTTAGGAATATCCTCAGTAAAATTAGATTTTGAACATCACATCTGATTTTTGAACCAAGCTTCACAAAGCTATGACTTGATGTGCCAACATCCATTAGGAAAAGATTGATGCTGAACGTAGAGATCATCATATCTACATGATATAAATAAAACTAACCAAATCAAATAACGAGCTTCTGCAACAAGCTCAGGCCCCAGCATTATACACATAAGACAAGGACACACAATGTAAAACTGCTGTCTGATAAAACAGTAATTGGATAATCTGAATTATCAAAACCTCTTTTATTGCACTCTTTTGCAAAAGCAGCTGATAAAAGAGTAAAGAATTTTTTGAAATCTGAGCTCAAAAAACAATGTTTCAGTTCCATGTAGATGTTCAACATTCCATGAAACATGTTGACAACTAAGATACATTACACAGATAATTATCAATATCAACAGCACAGGTCTGATATCATTCAGCAACTAGTAACTTATGGTTCTCCAGTGAACCAAATCTAAATAATGTAACCCTCGAATAGCATTATAAACTCAATTCTGAACATGGAAAAGGCATGCATGGACAACTTGATTAAAATCAAGAAAATCATTACAGCCACAGTGAAACAGACAGAACTGTGCCACCAAAAATATTAAAAGCATCTTGCATTAACAGTAAACAAAATTCAGTCAACAACTGGCAATTCTCTTAGCAAAGAAAACCACTCAAATTTTTACAGTAGAAAAATTTTGATAGCCCAAAAAGGGGTACCAAAGGAAGATACATCGAAAAGAAACAATTTCTGATGGCAATGTGCAAGTATATGACTTCTTGTTAACTGATCAATTAATATAAGCGAGAGATAGAGAAATTTATGACTTCTTGCATATTCTTGTTAACTGATCTTGAGGAAATTGTACATATTACTAATAATAAATAGGTAACCAAGTATCCAATACTCAAGCCATCTCAGGATTTGAAGTTCAAATATACTCCCTACCACTGAAGGAAGTTGTTTCCTACAAACAGAAGTCACAAAGCTCAGGTGCAGTGAAGCAAAGGGAAAAAGCATCAGAGATCAAAGTAATGCTCATAGGGAAGTAATAAATTAAAATGCGAGTCCACCACCTTTACATACAATTGTAGTTTTCTGCTGCTGGAAAGAATAAGATCAAATAAATGAAGTATGCTTGCTAAATATAAAGGAAAACATTGTCACTGTGTGACTCCTAGGTTTCAAAATCCAAAACTGCAAAAATTTGCCTGCAGATCTTCTTTTTACATTCAAGCACAACTACCATATTTAATGATATTTATGCAAAGATCAAAGGAACCATTAGAACCAAGGCATCATTCAAATTCCCGCAGAACTAACACTTGGAGAGATGATAATAACTTGTTCCAAACTGAAAGAAGGGTTTCCAGATCCACACAACATTAACAACAACAGAAAGTTCTTTCAAGTTAATGAAACCTTATAGACAAACTTGCTGCCAAACTATGTTGTGCAATACTGCAATATACCAATCAATATCTGAATGTAAGCTGTACCAATCTAGACAAGGAGCAGGTTTCACTAGTGACAACAAAGCAAACCAAAAGCATGTGTCTAGGGATCTATTACTCCACAAGAATATACCTTGGCGTGATATAGCAACAATGCACATCGACCAATAGATTAAACAAACAAAAGAGTGTTGTTCTCATATCTCGATAGGAGGAATCAGAGAATAAAGATAGAATAAGTCAATAAGAATTATGAGTATATTGCAGATCCATGCAAACTAAAAAGAGAATAATAAGAGGAAGGAGCATAAAGAAATAAGCTGGTTTATTTCCCACTGATGACAAAAGACAGCATCTTGATTATCAGATATTAATCTTAGTACACTGTTCAATTGAAGCATAAGATGTGAAACATCAAACATCATGTGCTGCCATAAAAAGAAAAGATGCAAAGCCAAGATGAGAAAAAAATATTCAATCAAATTAATATTTTTCATTTTTTGTGTACAGCTAATAAGCTGATTAAACAGTAAATATACATGGATCCAGTTTCTGAAACTGTGTGAAGCAGCCATATTTTTCATTGCATGGGATATTAGAATGTCAAGATATGCATCAAGCAAATCAATATGGCCATAGGCATGGCTGAGGAAACCAAAAAAGCACAAGAATAAACAACCAGAGAAATACCATTCACAGAACTGGACAAACAGCCTCAATTGTCAAAATATGACCAACAAAATCCAAGTAACAATGTACCACCTAAATTGACACATTAACGAATGTCACAGACTTGCAGGAGCTGGAATCAAGAAAATTAGAGTTCAAAAGAGCAACAATTGCTCTTGAAAAGTGCAGAATTGCTCTCAGAATCATTATGAACAAATTGAAAGCTGATTTTATCCCATGATAATGGATTTTGAGTTTTTTGACATCTCAACAGCTAACGCATAAATCAAATCAGCTGTCAACCAATTAAAGAAAAATTACCAATATCCAGGAAGGAAAGGGGGTTGTAAATTCCTGATTATAGCACATAAACAGAACTCGTGGCGATTTCCACATGCACATAGCAAAAATGAACCCACTTTTACCATGACAGTATGCACCATACAAGCAACAATGCAAGAACACAAAAACTCAGAAGCTCTCAAATGGTTGTTCTCTGCATTTAATATCCAGAGGTTTCTAACATCAACAAAGCTCTCAAATTTAATACAGAGGACACACAAAGGAACACTGCCAGAACCCAGAAGTACGCAAGGTGGTGCAACAGTGAAGCAAAATGTACACCACCACAGCCACATATATGAGGATCTAACAGTTCAGCTTAGTGAATGGTCCATTGAAAGGTATCACTCAGCCGTATTACACAAGACATTTGCACAAAAATCACACATCAAATTTGAAACTTCAGCTTCATTAGCTCAAACAGATACGTAATGACGTGCCAAAAAGAAGTCCCATCCTCCAGGAATTGTTTTTGGCACTGAACTAAATGTGAATGCAGGTATACCGTAGTCCATCCAGGTGTCACAAAGAGACTAGAATACATTTAGAACTGACATGCATGTCAATCTCAGAAAACTACCTCGTTCAAATAAGAGGTCCATTAACATCCAAGGCAGAAAATAAAACACAAAACGCACATACAATCATCCACCCATACTGTCTGATGCTGACAATGTCACAGCCACAGAACAACGATTACTCACATTCATCCATGGGAAGGTGAAGGGAAGAGACTTCACATAATACACAGTGGTATCAACGCCTGACAACATTATAACACGTAAGCCACTGGCTTCCATGCTTCATGCTACTGATGAAAAATCAGAAGTCCAGCTACCAAAAGAAGGGGAATGGCTTAAGCTTTCGCACAACAACATGCAACCAAGCCAAGAATCCAGGTTCAAACACAACCATTGTAATAACCACAACCGGACCATATTAATCACTTGGTTCAAAGATCATCTGGGAACATCCAACAACATAAACTGCAAGGGCAAAACTTCAAAACCAATTAAAGCACAGAATATTTTTCTTGTCAATGTTTGTCCTTATCATATTCAAAGTGTTAAGTGTTTTTAAGTAACTGACATACTTCTAAAGCATGCATCAGATGCATAATTGCATCTCCGTCAACTGCAATACACCAATGGCAGACAACCACACACCATGACAAACAGTAAAATTACACCTACTGACTTGCTCAACATGGCTTATAAAATGCACTGCTGCACCAACAGATACTAGAGAGTCATTTTATTTGAAGCTAAAGTCAATAACCATTGATGGTCTTCAAGTATTCTTCTTCTCGATGTAGAGAAAAAGCAGAATGGAAACAATGCCAAGCAAACCAATAAGAAGAGGCAACCGTTCCAAAACCAAACTGAGAGGAGAGATGACCATATTGTTCTCTGGTTACCACTCAGGAACCTGGAAAAAAACAGACAAAAGATGACAGTGAAAAGTTAAAAAGGATCAGAGCAAACCTTGTTGCTCGCCAGTTTTCCTATCCTTTATGAAAGCCACTTCAATGACATCTCCATGCACCTCAAACAATGGGCGTATCTGAGGGACAAGTAATAGGTTGTGATGATAACTTCACAATGACAGAGGTCCACATCAAAATTTAAAAGAAAAAAACTACAACCAAACACCAAAGGAGACATTACGAAAGTGAAATCAATGAATGATTGGCCAGCAAATCCATAGCAAACATACATGCAGTATATTTTTTAAAACCAGATCCATGTAAGAGGATAAGAAAAGTCACCACAGTAAGTCAATATTTCATAAGTGCAAAATTCATCGGTGGATACTGGGATCTCATAGTTCAGGTATCATCGCATATTGATCAAAAAGGAAGCACATAAAAATCTATAATGTAGCTTTTCTTAACAAAATAAAAATAACAACCCCAACAAGAGTCTGACAGGGAGAAAACCACTGCCAAGGCCACAAGACAAACCATGTTTAATGTTCTGATCACATTCATATGTCACATCCAATCTTAGAACTGCCATCCATTTCTTGTATCCCTCCAATACCAACAAAAACAAAAGCATGTGGCATTGGCACCATACTACTTTCTAGCCAGTAAATATCATCAAGGGAAATATCCACATCATGCCCCATTATAATTGTTCATTGAAGAGACTTCTGTAATGTCTACATCACATGAAACAATCTAATGGAAGCAATTTTGTTACATCCATCTGATAATTCAAACTACAGTATGAACTTCATCCACCACTACATAATTATTTCAAAGAATTGACAAGTAATACTCTGATGGCAAATTAATCTTCATCAGCATCACATTACTATAAAAAAAAAGCATATTTCTTAGTGGATTAAAAAAAAAAAAGTAGCACATTGGTGCGTAACAAATCTCAGAATAAATCTTCAAGTATCTAACAAAAGCTGGAAAATAATCAAGCTGAAGAAATTACTCATCGGTCTTATTTGTACTTGATATAAACTTGTTCGGATTCTTAAGTTAAAACATATAATAATATAACTTCATGGGTTTCAACTTCTTTCCACAGAAAAACTTTGTATAGCGAAAAGAATCACCATTAGTATAGTTTTTGTCACCATATTTGCTACAAACAATGAGACAGAATGGCAACCGATGTCCATTATTAATTACATTCCTGTGATTATTATCGTTCATTACCTCACTAAAGTCAAAGAAAAAACTAAAAAATATTATCTCTCATAGGTAACTGCAATTTATGCACAATAACAGAACAGTCTTTGGACCGATAAGGCATCTGAATATAATCTAAATTTCAAATGTGCATCTGAAACATATTTCAGTAGCATGTAGCATCATACTCAAATTCATATCAAAAGGAGATTCATGAAGATGAACATAAAGAGTTGCCAACACAAACCGTTGTTGTTTCTGCTGCAGCTGTTATATCATACTCATTAGATATAAAATGAAGACGAAGCAATAGTCTGGTAGATATACTGAGAGAGTCAATAAGTATCTTACAATAGGAATCAAGGAGAGAACAGTAATGATGACAGTTATGGAAGACAATAGATGGTAAAAAATTCAAAAAATTCACATAACCATCACGAAAAACAACATTGACTTACATCTTCTTCAGTTGCTGTCCTTGGGACTGCTCCAATAAAAAGTTTGGCAAATTTATTCCCACCAGTACGATCTAGATAATATTGGTAAAATAAAATGACAAAAAGGTTATTGAGAGTTCACAGATATTAATTTTGAGACAAAAAACAATTATTCACTTGAAATGGTGACAAAAGGACAATGAGAAGTATAACTCCATAAAATCATTCAGGATAAAGATTTTCTATTAGAATATTTCATTGTTTGTGCTGAGCTCTATGGTGTCATATCATATGACACTTACAGAACATATCACTCATAAAGCCATATGACAGCAATATATGAGATGCAATTCAACTTCGATTATCATTAAATAACAATAGAAAAATTACAAGGTTCGCTGTACCGTACCATACCGACGTTTAGACCTGGGCTCGATACGGTACAGTACCAATGTACCGAGCGGTACATCAGGGTGTACCAAGCGGTACGCCCTGGTGTACCGAATATTTTTTATTTTTATAGTGTAGCACTGTAGCGGTACCAGACGGTCCGCATACCGATAACCTATCGGACCGGTACATACCGCCCGGTACGGGCAGTATACTTCGGTACGACAGACCTCAAAAAAGTGACATCACATATTTTACTTGCATGCGCTATAATCAGTTAGTAGTAAGAACTCAAAATGCAGTTTTATGAGAAGGGTATATATTTCCATACAACACCGTGCGATAATCCATTTATCATACTTTGTGATTGTATTATTTAACTGCAAGCGACAATTTAGCATGAATATATATTTGGAAAAAATACAACTGTAATTATTTATTACCAAGCATAATACTATAAGCTCTTGAGATACGAGGGTCAGTAGGACACTCACATTGAACAGTACATCAAAATTCAACATTATGATTAAATTTAATAAAACATATTCCTCGCCCACATGTTCATATTATATAGTGTGTCGTGCCTAAAAATAAAAAGAATTCATGAGGAACTTAAGAAAAAGCCACAGCACCTGAAGTATTTATCATTCCTGACAAAAATAACAGTAACACGCAATTACAATTTCCATAAGATATATACGATACGAAATTCTCATACCCTAGCATCACCATCCCAATTATAATAAGAACTTTTGTTCTTTCTTAATGGCCGGTTCTGATGACCTAATTATAGTGCATCCCATGAAAGCCTAAACCTGAGTACTTTTATAATAACTTGCATGAAAATATACAAGATGGTTCATGAGAGTGATTTTTGCATGACGCTTATCTGGCTTATTTGCACAATACTTGCTTGCTCCAAAATGTCTTCATCGATTTTAGTCTAAGACAAGATAACCTAACTATCTCTCACAACATATAAGAAGAAACAACTTGCAATACAAATTTTAAGGGTTCAAAATCTCAAATAATAATTTTTTACTCGGTCTGGTGGTGTTATACTAGATCAACTTACCAAAGGCTAAGGATTGAAACAATTTTTTAAGGACATCTGCTAACATAGCTAATAAGGGCTTTGACTGTTGACAGAAAGATCCTAAAATCAAATATCATCTTCACCACTTACCCTTTGCCCCCCCAAAAAAAAAGACTTGCAATACAATCAAACTTCTTGAAACAAGGAAGTCCTCCTTATTATCATGTACAATGTCATCAAAGCACCACAAATAGACAATTTTAAAATCACCCAGGCACCTTGTTGGAAGGGTAGACAATTACAAGCCAACAAGTTCAGATGCCTCAACACTTCCAAAGAAACGAGTACTAGTTGAATCTGATTGATGAAACATCACTAGAAGTCAACTGATTCTTTGAATGGCATGCCTCTAACAGTGGGTGTTAATGGATTGGCCACATTTGAGCATAACAAATGATTTAATTTCTGATTTCATGAGTGAGAACCCTGCCTAGTCGTTATAGGGGAGAACACAAGATCAAACATGACCAGGCTAAGTTTAGTAGCAAATCACGACGTAGTCGTTTTGCTCTCATTCTTGAAAAGATCCGAAAAGCTAAAAACCCTCCAGATTTATTTATCTACCGTGAAGTGCCAAAATAACGGGTGAAAAAAATAATTAAATTGCCACCAAGAGAGGGTGAGGGAGAGGGGAGAGGAAGATTCCGAGAAAGAAAGGAAGATCGTGGTTAGCAAGTCGAAACCAGCCATTAACCGCCCGACCAAAAAAAAAAAAAAAGAGAATGAAACAACGACTATCATGAACCCTAACACGGTGAATGAACGACGGTAAGTACAATTTTCGAAAAGAAAAGAGAGGATCTTTGAGCTTACCTGGAGAGCCACTTCGACCGGAGAACCCGCGCCTAGGCCCGCCCACGGACACCGGAGGGCTGAATCCACCGGGATCACCGCCTCGGAAGCCACCGCCCGGAGGGGCGGGAAGGTCCTGAGAACCGCGGTAGGGATGGTAGCGGCCGCCATCGCCTCCGCCTCCGGCGCCACCCCTGGGATAACGGGGATGCCGCTCCGTGGGGCTGTCCGAGGACCATCGGGAGGGCATCCGCCGCCCACCGCCATCGCCGAACCGATCTCCGGAGCGGTCGTCGAAGCGGTCGCTGCGGTGCCTGTCCATGGGTATAGCTAGGGTTTGCTCCTCTTCGAACCCTAGGCGTCAGCTATACTGAAAGGGGGCAGAAGAGAGGAAGAAAATATTCGAAGAGGACTAGCGGCCTTTTGGTTTAGACAAATATCACTGTTTTATGCATAACACGCGCCTTGTCGGTTTCATCCAACCCCGATGCTACGATGCATGCGAGGTGAACCGCCTCATCTCTAGGTTTTATACAGATGCTAGTTACCATCAATGCACATGCATGTCACGTGAGCTTCCGACTAATGCACGGGACCATAGCACCAAAGAAACACACTATCATACAAATTATCTCGTTAACGAGGAGAGAAGAATCGCACACACTAATACCACGGATACTAGTGGCGGTGGATTCGGGAAGACCGAAGAAAGAGCGACGTACGATTCCCCGTATGGGGGTACCGTAGTTTTGACTTTGGAGCAGACAGCTCCATTCGCTCAAATGCGTCGCAACCGTGACAAACCGAGAGAACATATTTCACACGATTGTTGATCGGAAACAAATCAAAGATCACACTTAACTCGCTCGAGCACCACCACCCTCCCTGTAAAGCAAGCAACGGTTAGATAATGTTGCAAATACATATTAACTCACTCGCAAGCCACGAACATCCATACAAGTTATTCCACAATATTTAACAAGGATGATGTAACAGTTGGAAGGTTCCAAGTCTTCCAAATTTTGGTAACAAGCAAACCACACCGTAATTAAAAACAGTTTACGCAAAAAAGCTTCCTCAAAGCGACCACAAAAAGGACTGGATTCTCCTCCCTATCCTGAATGAAGTACCATCACCAAGCAGACTCCACTCTTAGAGACTCACTCCATTTCTGCGACCAATATCTTGGGGATGGATGAGTAACAACAGATAGGCCTAAGATGGAAGGCAACTTCTACAGCTCGACTCAGGTTTCCCAAGGAACAAAATCCATGAAGACGTCACTAGCTGTTAACTTCTTCAACAGTCATGTACTGATCTTGCTTGAGATTTTTTCCACATAATCAACCACAATTGATTTCTCGACCTTCAGCCTGGTGGCGTCGATGCATTCTGGGAAAGGAAGATAGCATATAAATACATTGATCATTGGTCAAAAACATCAGATGGTTAACCGTGCAATTAATCAAGATAAAATCTCACAAACTCAACCATAAACAGTGTTTCAACTCCAGATATATGTTGCTGAGTCATGAGTATAATAAACCATTATACTAAATTTTCCAGATGAAAAATATTATTAGGAAATACTGTTTAAATTCATTGAATCCAGCAAGCAAATCAAGAAAGCGTGTATAATGTCAACAAAACAAAAAGAATAATGAAAATATATATCTACCTAAGCCAATGGACCAAAGTTCAAATTGCCATTCTCACCATACCTGTTACGAAAGGCATCAACTATTACACCAAACTAATTTTTAAACTGATCCAGGTAGAAAGACTTGGACCAGACCAAATGTGGAGCCAAATACATAAACTGTCTTTCATGAACTCCATGCACAAACCTTAGTAGCCAGATCCACACAACTTTATGCTGATGTAATTGTGGTTAAACTACATGGATCCGAAGCAGAATAACTATTATAAACATAGGGCCAGAAAATGACATTAATGTGTTATTCAACAAATTATAAAAAATTCAATGCCGCCATTATCACAATCTAAACAACACTGCTTCCAAAAAAATTGTTAGTAGAAGCAAATTTATGTCTTCAAGAAAGGCATCATTAACTTCATCAACAAGAAAAGGATAAAAGGAAAATAAGCGAGATGACAAAGAAACAACTAGTCACAAATATTTAAAAAAAAAAGTCAATTGGGATGGTGCAGCACCCAACCAGAGGAAATCTGTAATTATGCCTCATCTGACTGATTTATACAGGTAGACCAAAAGCAGTCCACATCATTGATATGCAACAAGGACAACTTATCAGACACTAGGTCTGGAATTCAGATTTCAATGGCAAAGACTACAAAAGATACAAGACCAAGGATAATAAACATTAGCAGTGAAACTAATTTAGGTGCTTCTTTGTGTAAGAAGTAGATAATAAAGAATTCTCCAAATCCTAAAAAATAAAACACCATATTTGAAACAACCACCCGTGGTTCTAGTCATAAAGCATATTTGATAAAAAAAAATATTATTAATAGTTGGTCGGTAATTTACTTTATATTATATAGTCTGCCATCAAAACTAACATGCTAATATATCATGACCAGAGTCAAGGTTCTATGAATGTAATATGCTGCATATCACAAACCCAGCAATTCAAATAAAAGAAATCCCAAGTGTTATGCAGGAATAACATAATAATAGAAGAGGTAATATAGCTTGTAAAGAATAGAAAAAACAAGTCTGATTAAACTAACATAGTTAAATGTATTTCATAGCAATCATCTCAGCATGGAGTTATATAATAAACTGACTAACAATTCTGATATGGTTTGCCCCTTATTCTCTTGAAAGAGGAGCTGCTCAACGAGGTTCTACCAGTAAGAGATGGCAGGTCTAGATACGTTCCTTTCATATAACTATAAAATAATTAATGATTGATATCAGAACAACATCAAGCCTCAATTTCATATGAAACCTATATAAGTGGAAAATATAAAAAGTTGAAGCATCAACACCTACCAAATTCAAGGGCCAAGAACCTGCACCGCTCCCGTGACCATGTTCAAACATAAACTCGACGAAGTTAAATTCTGCAAAGGTGGGATGAAGTCAATAGTCCCCAGGCTGCAGGCCACTCATTGTGAAAGATCGTCATCCATTGCTAAAACATAAAACCTAGAATTAGACAAAGGTATGAAAGTTTATGATCAATATTATAAAATTAATTACCGATAAGAATTTTGTTACCAGTAACCATCTTCATAAAGTTTCACACGAAGTATGAACCAGACCAAAGAGATTGTGCATGACAATTTTCAGGTGGCAGAGTGTGCTGTGGATTTGATTGCTGAAGCTTCTGCCCATTATACGCTTTCAGTTGCTCAAAAAGCTGGAAATCATGCCATTTTTGCTCATCAACCACTTGGGTCTGCACATTAGAAACTTGTTTCCCAGGAAATGGGAAGCTGGAAACACTGGTAAAGGCAGTAGAACTGGCTGTACTAACATACGGAAGCCTATATGTAATTTGATCAAAGGAGTTTTCTATTCCCATGACTTTGGATGATGATGATCGACAACCATCTAGCCAGCTGTAATCATCGATCTCAGGCAGCTGTTCCTTTGCACCAGAATTAGGATTTGTTCCATCCTGTTTCGGAGCAATATGGCTAAATCCGGGAGGTGGCCCAAAGTGCCTAAAGGGCCGACCAACAGGATTTTTCCTCGGTGGTGGCAAGGCTGAAGAGAGCTTCATAGCCATGCCATCAGCTGTTGCGTCTGAAGGCAATATAGTATCAAGTGTAGATGGAAACACTACTTCTGCAGCTTTGATCTGACCAGAAAGTGCACTGTTGGTGCCCAAACTAACAGCAGAAGAAAATAGAGGTGATAATGAACTAGGCTGCAAGTTACTTGAGCCTTCTTGCAACATCTGCTTATTCAAGTAACCATTTTCTGTTATGTTCATATTTTTCAGTTCATCAGACAAGAACCATCTGGTGGTGTCTGAATTTACAAATTGCAAAGGTAGCTGTGAGACATTACTGGTAGATGGATGCAGTTTCGAACTCACATTTGATACTGCTGACATCTGAACACCATCAAAATCTGCAGAAAAATGCCGAGCATGTGTCATCCAATCGGTTGCAGAAGATGCTTGTCCAGGGTTGACAGAGTCACAAGCAGTCATCGGTGAAGCAGATATATCAGGATACTTTTCAGCAGTTGTAGGCTTAAAGACAATTTCTTCCTCCTCTTCTTCTCCTCCCATATATAATTCTGCATTGGTTTGTGACACTCCAAGATTAGATGTTTGTAGTGCTGCCCCGGATACATTCTCAAATTGAATTTCCTGTTTCACTACTGCCGAATCCAACGGATATAAAAAGGTAGAGTCCATTGGCCCTTCAAACACTGGAGGCTCTGTACCTATTACAAATTTCTTCAGGCTTGGGTCAATATATATTCTCTGCTGATCAACTGAGACAATATTAGTAAGGGCCCGTCCAGCTGCCAGAATCCTTTCGACACGTGATACTTTGTCCTTCCTGCCTCCGTCATTCATGTAGGCATGCTTCTTCGAAAAATCCAAAATGAGTTGTGCTGGCACTAAGGGTACAAATCCTCTCAACTCAAAATCCTCCCATAGTGCAAGCCTATTCCCAGTTTCTCCTTCATCATAACTACTCATGTTTAAAAAGCAGGTTTCATTCCCTTCACCATCGACAGACGCAAGTCGTGTCTCGATAAGTTTGTTCATAAATGGAACAAATTGAGTCCAGAAGAATGATCTTGCTCCCGCTTGTTTTTCCTCCACATCAAAACTGGTTGCTACATCTGGATGAGATGCCAGCCACTCAATGAAAATCAGAATAGCCGGCAAGAGGCAGCTCGATGCAGCATCATGCAGTGCTATGCATCTCTTGAGGATGTATCCAACGAACTCAAAAGCAGAAGTAAATGCATGCTGTAGCAACACGGTACGCTGCAATGTCTGGTTTTCAGACTCCCTTTCAACATTGTGTACAGTGAATATCAGAATTGCAACAAGCCTCAAAATGGTCAACGCATTTTCCGTAGTAGCTGGACCAAAATTAAGCACGTCTTCGGGACCAGAAGAAAGAAGCACATTCAGATCTTTAATCACTGAAGAAAATACTTCTCCAAAAGTTTCTAAGCTGTTGAATTCAGCCAAAAAAGTAAATTTAGCATCATGAAGTCTAAATAGTAGGAAATTAATGAGATCAAATACCTTGTCCGTGTGAAAAGGATTCCATGAAGACGAACAAAACGAGTGGCAAAGGCTTTAAATACTTGTGACATGGTCAACTCTTCGTCTTTGGTGGAAGTAGTTTCAATCTTACTGTCTTTGGGAAGGAGTTTTGTATCACTTCTTCCTCTACCTCTCCCAGCTGAACGTGCAGGCAATCTTCTGCCTGAGGCAGTTTTCGTATTACTAGGCAGCAGAGAGTAACTTTGTCGATTCTGTAAACAAGTGTCAGTAGAAAACATAAGATCAAGACAAAAGGAGCATATATGAAAACATCAAATACAATCAATGACACGGGTCTTTAAACATTATCATATACAACAGCAGATAATCAGATATAAGTAAATTTAAAAAATGTGTAAGCCCGAAATTTGTTATTGACAAGATCCACACATTCAAGAATATAAATTTCAAAAAAGATCAAACTTTCACATGCAAGAACTATTAAAAAGATCAGGTAATTCAAAATCTATATTTAATTGGGTTCGGTGATCCAGAACTTTCAAAATTGAGTGTGAACTTCTTTTTAAAAACACTGTAGCTGCAGCATGTTCAACTAGTTATGCAAATTGCACTCCGTGAAGACCATTAATTATGCAAAAATTTGCAACATAAATCACATGTTCTAAATTGACATCAACCAATGTTCTAAATAATCATGCACTTTACCGGAAGGAAAGAGAAAAGGTAAATCTTCCAGCTTGCCAGAAGGCTGCTATTGTGAAATACAATCTATGATTCCATATCCACGTAAATATTTGTGCAGTAAATGGTACCACCATCATAGGCCAAAGAAATAATCTACCAAAAGGAACCAGAGGCAGAAAAAAGGTTCAATGTGATATCACTGAACCGACACAATAGCATGACGGATAACAATGCTGACAAACAAGACTCTCAGCAAACCTTTATTCAGAGCCACCAAGGGCATCTATCATCGTGACGGTGTAAGACTCAAAGTTATTGATATTTGCAATTAATCCATATACTCATGTCAAATATATCTGAACTAGATAAGGAACAGAACATGATAAAAGTGTGCACCAAGTCGTGGACAACACAACAGAATACAAATTACACAGCCTTGCCAAGTTGGTGCACCAAGTCAAAAGATACCTTCTCAAAAGCAATGATCAAGTTATCTCTTGCTGTTGAAAAGGGGATTTCCACTGCCAAACTTCTAAAGTACCGGTAGACTGCCAACAAGTCATCTCCCGAGTAGGAAGCAAGTATTGCTAGCTGCAACAATGAAATTTCTCAGAAAAAATGAGAAAAGAAACATGATGCTAACAATAAAAACATAAGCAGTGGATGGCAGAAGATGCCCTAAAGAGATAACACATGATCCAAACCTGATGATGTGGATTGCCACTGAAAGGACAAAGAGAAGATGCCTGCATGTAGTAACTTGAAGCAGCTGCATAATCACAACTAACGGAGTCAACCTCTCCATAAAGTCCTTTGTAACGAGCAAGGTCTCCCAAATATATCAGACAACGGTGACAAGACATAAGCCCTTTTTTCATGTCAGCAGATTTCTTTTCATCTTTCGTCAAAACAATTTCAGTCTCAATGCCCTCATTGAAGTAGCTCAAAGGCAGGCCATATTTTGCCCTGATCTTCAATATCAGGTCATGGTAAAATCCAGTAGCTTCTGTCAGGAAGCTTCTAAAGACAGAACGGAGTTTCTTGATTTTATCAGGCCTGACGAGAACTTTCCCACCAGATGATGCATTTGATCCGGCCGACACTGCAGCATTAATGTGCTGCCTGAACTCCTCGATTCTTCTATAGTGCAGTTGCCAAAGGACAAACTCTATATCATGCTTTTCAGAAAAATCATGATCTTCAAGAATCATAGTCTCATAATTCTCACGCATCTGAAGCCAAGCATTAGGGTCTGAAGGAAGTTTTGACTTTGCCGACCTTCGCAGTCCATTTTCCAGTTCAATGTTCTAAAAAGAGAAAAAAATTACAAATTAATGAGTACAATAAGGCCAGCTCCAAACACTTCCATCCAGAATAGAGCTTTCAACCCTCCACAAAAAAATAAATAATAAAGAAAATAGAAGTGACCACGAGTGGTATAATGCTGGTCCATGAGGATATAGAATAGCTTATAAGCTTCATAGTGAAGTTACCGATTCTTATCTGTGTGGTTAGATTGATTTGTATCTAAGAAGGCTGACCTAGTGACTTAGTTTTGCCATCTTGGATAGCAGTGTAAAAGAAGCATTTATCCGATATACATGCAAGAAGAAAATAACATGTTTACTTATTCTAACATATTGAAAATATATGGCAATTCATGAAAACCTATTTTCACACATTTAGTTAATGTACGAATAGAGGTCCAGAATGTACGAGCAAAGGAAAAAATATTAGAAGCCAAAAAAATACCAAAATAGAAAAGAAAATAAGGACAAGTTATAAAACCTTCCTTCTACGCAAAGACAATGCAGACACTTGTTTGACTCCTCGTCGAGGTCTAAAAGAATAAATGAGATTAAAGAGGTATTTATGAGTTGGCCAGATAACAGGGATAACTAAACCTTTAAAATATTTAAGTTCTTAAACGACCTTTGTAATTAACACATAAAACGGAGAAAACAATCACTATAATTACTATGGGAAATAACAAACTTCCAAATTGCTTCTCGATAGATGATATCGTTGCATTGACACATGCGCTAGAATATGTAACAGAAATGGATCCAATTGTTCAATTAAGCAATAAGACAAAATGGATATATGAGAACACCTGGGAAAATAGTTATTTCATGAAAAACAAGATTGTACTTATGTGATAAAACTGTGAGAATGTCAAATGCTAAGAACTAAAGTTCATAAACAGAAGATTCACTTATTGTATTGTTATGGAGTTTGATAATGAAATAGAATAATTAAAAAATATTATGTGTCCTGACTCAAAGACACATAATATTATGGTTAAAAAAATTTATGGTTACATTCCGACGATGCCTGTGAGTGTAGACATGAATCCATGTTACAATGAGAAAAGAAAATTAGAAATGTAATTGCAGATACCATGGTAAAGCAGGAAGCATTTGCAAGTTCATACCTTTTCAAGAAGTCGTTGCGCAAGCTCCCGAGATGAGGGAGCAGACGACCTATCCATCGGAACAGTCATCATCCATCAAATACACACAAAGTTCCCCCTGTAGCAGAAAGCATATGGCAGATTCAGACCAATGAATGCGTATCTAGGCCAACAAATCCATCTAAAAAAGATGAACGACTTAAATTATGAAACGAGAGAACAAAAGGCATAAAGGTTACTAATAAAGAAAAGAATATAATTGTCAATTATCATCGTACCCACTTCTTAATCCCCGATCCAACGGACCAACAATCAGAGGCCATCAACATGCCCCCTTCCCTATATCCCAATTTTCGTCCAACCCCCTAATACCTCCCACCCAAACCCTAACCCTAACGCTACAGATCAACCGAACCCCTCGATCGATCCAAAGCTCCACGAAACCGAAACTCCGATGCGGATTCACAATGAGACAGATCAATCCGCACGATCTCGACGCGAGAGCGTCCAGATTCAACGGATCCCCACGAAACCGAACCCCACCTAAACACGCAGACGATCACAGGGACCAGGACAGCACCTGTAGGTCTTGATTCAAGACCTATCGATTTCACCAAGATCGTGGTTATACGTTAGAAGGAGCATACCTGACCGCAAAGATCCAAGGCAAGCGAAGGGGAGAGAGGGAGAGAGAGAGAGAGAGAGAGAGAAGGGCGAAAGGGGCAAAGCTTTTGCCCTGAGGCGGAGTTTGCCGTCAAAGAAGGGCGACGAGACGACGACCGCCTATTTATAGAATCGGTTATATTTATTTGATTTTATCGGATAACTAAACAAGACACGGCCGCCGGCTCCAATAAAAACACCCCTTTTTTATTGCTTTATTGTGTTATTTTTATTTTTAAAAAATAAAAACAAAGATAATGACGGATTATTTTATTGTGTTTATTTTCATAAAAAATAAATAAATGACTCGATAATTTTTTGCCTAAATGGTTTGGCTCGACCACGTTCATTTGTCGTTCCCCAAATCCCTCGTTCATCAATAACGAGTCTCATCTTTCGTGATCACTCACAACCCCAATCAACACATTCTGAGTTATAATAATATGGTGCCAATTTGGTGATGGAGTTGTGCACGTATTACTCAAATGACTCGTGAATATATATATTTTTTATTCACGAATAAATTATAATTTGGGGGTAGGTCGACCGTCTCTCCTCTCTTAAAACAATTGATAGGCACGCGTGTACAATTCATATCAAATACCTAATAACGTCATGATGCTATATTAAATCTCTAAAGTTTCTTATCCTTTATTATCTCCGTACATAATAGTAGACATTGACAGATTTCTTTTTTTTTTCATATTTATCAGTCGAGTGTATATAGTTAAAAAATCTCTAATTTTTATTTTTTTTCTTTAATACATCATGTCCTCGCCCACCGGCATTGTCACTCGTTCTTACCGTGATCATTTGTGATTTTCGAGTGGAACATGCTTGTCGATCAACAGATCAACATGCAACTCTTCCTTGCCCCCAACTTGCTTTATCATCGTATTTCACCTTCACTCTGAACCTTGTGACATGCTCTGAAATGAAAGCGTAGAGCCTATGAAATAGTTCAAACATAATAGATTTATTTTAAAAAAAAATGAATATATATATATATTGAAAAAATATCGATGACATCTTGGTCAGTTCAACGTGATATCGACTCGTATGTGTAGAATTATCTGAAATGTTCCCGAGGTGGAAATACCGTACTCTTGATGTGTCACCTACTCAAAGACCAAGGTCGACCAAGGTCGAGAGAGGTTTCCCAACACGATCCTCCGATACTCAAGTTAGTAATCCAATATCTCTAAACATGGGTTCGAGTAGTTCAAAAGTAATCTATTGCATTAAGTTTAAAATTTTGTTTTTTATCTTAGAGGATGAGAAGGAAGTTTGTGATTGTCTTCCTCATTATAATATATAAAAAGGAAGCTTGTAATTACCTTTCTTATCATAAAGGATGAGAAAAAAGGATACATTTATTATCATAATGAGAAGAAAGTTGTGATTACATTCCTTGTTGTAATGGATGAGAAGGAAGCTTGTGTTTACATAGGCAGATGGGTGAAAGGTAACTCGGATCTCACAATCACATGTCAACTAATATTGTATTCTCTATCATTTATACCCAACTGAAGGCGTGCTTTGGGATCCTTATGAGAGGGGCTCGAACTGTGTCATATAGTTCATTTGTCAAGAGAGCATTCGGGATCTCCTCTTGCGGGTCAGGCTTTTTCGACTCACACGTCTTAAGCATATTTCGTATTATGCTTCCGCTATACCATATTTCTGCTAGTGTAGATCGAGTTTTCTCTATTAATACGCCTCAAGCATATTTTGTCTTATGCCTCCGTCGTAGCAAATTTCTTCACGCATGTCGGATTTTCCCAACTCATGCATCTTGGGCATGTTGTTGGCCTTGTGCCTCCATCATGATATCCTTCTCACATAGGTCAGGTTTTCTCAATTTATATATCTGAAGATATACCAATTGGATATTAGAGAAACATCATATATCATATCATCAACACAATCCAATAATGTTGAATCTCGGATTTTAATGATGAAGTCAATTGTCATTTGTTATCTAATCTATATGTTGAGATAAGTGTGTAGGATTAACTACAATAAAAGTAAGACATGCAGCAGGAGTTGCGCCGGAGTCAAGACAATGATCACGTTGGGAGTTCGAGAGTTCGACGGAAGTTCGGACAGTCGTCGGAGGTTCTACGGGAACAAATCCGAGAAGTCCATAAGCTTGCCAAAGAAGCTCGTCAGAACTCGCCAAGTGAATCGTCGCAAGTCCAGGAGTTTGCTGGAAGTCCGCAGGAGCATCACCGAGGGTTCATCGGATGATCGACGGAAGTTCGCCGGAAGCTCGCCGGAAGAAGCGATTGACGCACCGGAGCAAGCTGCAGTAAATGTCTTAGGAAAAATCGTAGTTAGCACATTGATTAAGTTGGAAATGGGAGGTGATCCCATTAACTTAATCTTGGGGCAATTGGGCCCCTAAAAAACCCAAATCGGGCCGAATGGATCAACCCATTCGGACCCTGATTTCTGCCAGGCGGTTGAACCGCCCAAGGCAGGAGGTTGCACAGCCTGGGCTCAGTCTCCGAGCGAGACTGGGAGGTGCAACCACCCCAGCCAGGCGGTGGCACCGCCTGGGGCTCAGTCTCCGAGTGAGACTGGGCGGTGCAACCTCCCCTGACAGGAGGTGGCACCGCCTGAGCTCAGTCTTCGAGCTCTGCCAGGAGGTGCAACCGCCTGAGCTCAG